TGTTGCCCAGTGAGGGTCCTGCGGTCTGAGTATCTGGCAGATGAAAACAGAGGCCCCCTCTCACGAAACACCAGACCCCAACACGGCTGGCTGACATCAAAGTTCCCCCTCCACGCTCAGACACAGACGAGACAGGGGGAGAGGTCGAGTGGGCCGAAACCTAAGCGATACCTTTTATCGTTTATTTTCCCTCAGTGGGGACATCCTTAGATTAAACACCGAAATAAAAACCCCGCCTGGAGGCACAGACTGAAGAAACAACCACTGATAATTGATATCTGAACACCTGCTGAGGGGAAAAAGGACAGCGAGGCTCTTGACTTCAAATACAGCAAAGTTTCAACGCAGCTATTGTTCTCTGTCCCTCAACCACAGAGGATTCACTTAATATTCCGCTGAGTGAGATGTTTGCTTCACCTCCATCTCTGCTTTGACAGGCCTTTATGATAATAGTGTCAAGGTTGTCTGGGTTGACGTACCCCTCCCGAAAAACGGCGAGAGGCGCATCTGAATCAGAAGTGAAGAGTATGACTTTAGAGGCTGGTGCACTTTTCACCCTCAGGGAGAGACAACTTGTGGCGGTGGAGTCATGATCTGGGAGGTGGGAGAAGACAAGAAATTGGGCTGTGTTTACCCCGAGTTACAGTACGTCTGGAAATGATTACAAAGCCGATTTGGAAATAGATCTGACTCTTCCAAGAAGCTTTTAAGTGAAATGCAATTTGTATCATTTCTTATGTCATGCAAGTAAATCAGGGTTGTCTACACAAAGCAATCTTTCGCAACCGACTACAGTGCGAGGTCGAAGGGGACAGTCGCTCAAGGTCCTATCACTGGTTAAACTCGCTGTGTTCATATGTCGAGTTAAATGCTCGACTGGGGATTCTTTGTTGATTCTTTCTGAGTTTCAGCTGAAATTCTTAAAGAAAACTCTCAAAGCTAAGATAAATTAATCATATGTAACAGGATGTGGATCAGATTGTGGATAGTGGATTGATTTAAACTCAAATACCAGTCCAGAAACATTTTTTTTCCCTTCCTAGAATGGACTCAAGTATCCAGTGTTTTTTTTGTTTGGAGAAAAAAAAATTCCTGTTTGAATTTAACTGAATGTGAACTGACTAATCTTGATATAATATCATGGTTGCAAAACAATTTTAAAACAGGAATCTACAGCCTGGCAACATAATCTGATTACACGAGTCAAGATCTGCTGTATTAATGTTAAATTGTAAAAGCATACATTTTAAACCAGCAACAAGTAACTTTCACTTTGTGTTGATTCTGGCGACCCGTGTGGACAAAAGCGGTAGTGTTTCCACCACTTTGTTTCATTGATTTCAAGGGAAATCCAACCAAATCCAACCAGGTGAGAGGCAGTAAGAATAAATACAGAAGTAGTCAATCTTCTCACTGATGTTCTGGTGTGTTGATGTAGGTCATATGGAGGCATCCATTTTATAACCAGTTCAAAACTCCTTGTAGTAGGTTTAAAAAGTAATTACCCCTGCATCTTATAACACTAAAAATAATCTGTGGAACATTTGATCTGATATCTACATCTAGAATCTGTATTTTATAATCCACTGCTATACAATGCTGCTATATAGCAAGATTAAATACACAGCCGTAGCCAGGATTTTAGGTCCGAAATCTGACAATCTCCCTTTAATCATTTCTGTAAATAAAATGTATCATCACAAACACATCAAAACCTTTTGTACACCACCAGGATTAAACTGCAGAGGAAAATCATTTATTTATTTATTCATTTTGTGGGCTTAGAAGTAGTAAATAAATCTACTATGTGTGATTTTTAAGGAGCAGTGTGTAGGATTGTGGCATATAGCCGTGACTGTTCGCGTCTGTATTTGACAACCTGAGAATGAGAACGGGCTGTGAAGTGTGTAGAAGAAACTACGGTGACCGCACAACTCCCAATTAACAACCAGTATTTTATATATTATTTTATTATAATATATTTGGTTTGTCTGTTCTGGGCTACTGTAGAAACATTGTGGAAGGTGACCCACAGCGTCTATAGATAGAAACGACTCATTATAAGGTATATATTCAGGTGATTATACACTAATGGAAACATATCTATTATCTATGTGGTCAACTGGTGGCTGAAGAAGTGGATAAACTCTTAATTTATTGCCCCAATTTTATGTTAAATTGGTCCAGCAAAGGATAAACACTGTTATAAATAAGGACATGTTATACTAATCTGCATATTTAGCCATTTAGTATTTGTGCATTGTCACTTGACTTCAGAGAGAAATTAACATGAGCAACAAAAGAGGTGCAGATTTTTTAATCAATACTGGGCCACAGACGGGCCAGACTACATAATTACATAGTTATGCATTTTGAGTTCCTTACTACATCTACTCATGGAAAATTGCACAACTTTGTCTTGCCTTCACCATCCTAAGAAATACAAATTCATCTTGCAGAACACTACTGAATGAAGCACATCAGAGGGGATTTAGAAGTGGGTATACACATTGCTGACTGCTCTACACCACTGATTTCTGTCAATAGATCCTCCTAAATGTTACACACTGTACCTTTAACTGTTGAACAGCAGGTCATTGTTAAAACTGTCTCCTATGGTATTTATGGCCCTAATCAAATATATTATTTAATATATATTTTAAGTATATCTAAGGTCTTTTTAATCAAATGTACTGTAATCTGCACAATGTGTTTGTCTGAGTAAGACTCCAGATTACAGGTAACATTTTTAAAATCAGATTACAGCTGCTTTTCCTTTTTTATGCCCTCTTCCACTCTCCAGATGTGGTCTCCAAACAAACGCTGCCTTTAGATCCGTCAGTGTGATCACTGAGGGAATTTCATTAGAGTGAGACCTCCATGACTGAGACTGATAACAGCAGAGCAGGGCAGGAGGGAGGAAGGGAGGGAGGAGAACAGCGTGCACTGTGTTTGACCAAAGACAGCCCCTCAGTTGTTATCGGTGCTGGGTGGTGAGGAGGAGAGAGGACGGAGAGGAGGGGAGGAGATAAAAATGAAGATGAGGGGACAGGAGAGAAGATGGAAGGAGGCTGGTGAGGTCAGATGAGAAAAATGGAGAAGGGAAGGGAGATAGAGAGAGGGCAACAAAGTGAGGAGAGAAGGTGAGGTGAGGAAACGAGAGGGAGATAATGGAGGGTGGTGGAGGATGAAGGCCAGGGGGAGAGAAGAGGGGATAAGAAAGGAAATCAAATGAAAGGAAAGAGTAGGGAAGAAAACCAAAGAGAGGAGGGCAGAGGAAGGATGCAGGAATGGAATAGAGAACAAGGGAGAAGGACAAAGGGGAGGAGAAAAGAGAGATAAGAAAATGGAAGAGGGGAAAAGGGAAAGGGCAGGAGAGGAAAAGACATGAGAGGATGGGGGAGGAGGTGGAGAGAAAGGCTATGAAAAGAAGGGGAAGGAGAGGAGAAAGAAAAGTAGAGGGAGCAGAGTGGGTGAAGAGTAGGAGAGGAGAATAAAGGAAAAGAAAGCGGATATGAAGAAACAGGGAGAAAAAGAGAAAGAGAGGAGATGAAAATGAGAAAAGAAGATAGCAGGGGTGAGGTGAGGAGATCGGAGGAAAGGAAAGGACAGGGGAGGAGAGGAAGAGAATAAAAGGGGAGGAGGAAGACAAGGAAAGAAAAGGGGAGAGCAACATTTAAGAAAGGATAGTAAGGTAGGAGATATAAAGGAGAGAAGGAAGGAAAGATGAGGAAGTAGGAAACAGGGCAGGTGGGAAAGGAAAGGAGAAAAGACCAGAGTGGTAAAAGAGACAAAATTGGAGAGAGGGGGAGACAGTGCCGTAGGAGAGGGTGAGCGGGCCGGGACTCCCCACTGAGGAGTGATGCGATGGTAATCTCTCAGCTGGAACATCTGGTCCAGCCCTGAACAATGGCTCCTGCAGGCAGATCGCAGCGATCCGGGCCGGCTCTCTCAGTCCTGCGGAGATGGCCCGATAACCCACCTCCACAGGTCTGACTCCGCAGGTCAGCGCCATGCCGATCAACAAAGACGTACCTTGTCTGCAGACACACCGGGTCACAGTTAATAAACCTGCTCCTATGTGGTCTGATGGGAAAAGGAGGAAGCTGGTCAGATAGGAGCTCCTGTGTTCAAGGTGATGAGTGAAACCCCCCCCAAACATTCCTCAGAGATCCTCCTCTCCTTAATGTGACATTCACTCTGAAGATGAGCTGTTAATCGAGTGTTATTTTACTTTTGTGTCATAGTCCAAGTGCTGCCCTACAAATCAGTTTAATAGCCTGTGTGTGTCTGTGTGTGTGTGTGTAGTAACTGCAGATGCACAGTTGTAAGATGAGTTATGCCTTCTCTCTTCTTTAGGTTTAAGATGCCTTGGAGATCAGATCAAGGACATGAAATGTCTCATGCAAACCCACTGGAGGACACTGTGATCATGAAGTCCTTAAGACTGAAGAAATTCCAGATGGTGCTCAAGTGAAGGACGACATCACAGGAGACTATATGGCTCATGAATGTCAGCAACTCTGATTAAAAGCCATTCCGCCTGGGAGGAAAAAAAATTGCTGGCTTTGCCTTTCATGCTCATTTATCATATGGGATTGTTTGTATACAGTTGTTTTATTCTCCCCAAGTGAGTGAATGAGTGAGTGTGTGTGTGAGTGAAAGAGAGAGAGAGATGAGATGAATGTAATTAAAGTTTTTTAATTAGACGCTGTTCTTTTCTGGGAAGCCTGTGGCAGCGCTGGGTGGAGCCAGAGTGGAGACAGGAGGTTTGTGGTCTGGCCGAGGGAACCACGCCGGCCGGGGTAATGGAAACCGGGTGTTCACTGTACACATATACACATATACATGCAAACACACACTCAGTGTACACATGCACTCGCGCCCACACACACACACA